GGGGGGGTGATTTCCAATGAATGCTTGGCGAGAGAAGCGGGGTGCACCCTGAACTGGTCGCCAGCCAATCACGAGGAACATTCCCATTCACGCCTGGGGCCAATTAAGAGTCTTTGTCTGTGAAGGCCGCTGTCCCGCCTGTTTTCTGCAGAAGGAGTTGCCCATCCCTGACCTACGTGTTTTATTGGGCGAGAGAACCCGGGTACGAACTAGATTAGTTGCTAGCCACGGACTTCTGGCAACGGAAGCATGATATACCTCAGATTGGTCGCCACCCCATCACAGGCCACATGAAAACAAACAAGCCCTCCTGTTTTGGAGTCCTCAATGACGCTAAAGTGACTTCTGGTGTGAGAAGTGCGGTACAGCCTGGACTGGTCACTAGCCAATTGCAGGAAAAATGTTGACAAACACATTCAAAACTAAGGGACACTCTGGACTGGTCGTAGGGCAAACAAGCATTACCACGATCTTGATTGAAGCGAAACGGACTTGTGGGAAAGTGTACGTGGCTCGACATTTCTTTCTTTTGCAAGTTTCCTAGAAGGCGGTGTTTGCGCCGTTGTGGGAGGAAACACAGCGGACCCGTTTGCCATCCAACGGTACCGGCTCTCCTAATTCCCTTTCAATGCAGCACAAGAGACATGGTGGGAGTCCATGGGGATGGAAAGCGCCAAAATATATTTAGAATGGGTTTAATGAATCGATGTCGAAACTGTTGTCACGTTGACGAATGAATTATGTTTACGTCCAACTCAGAATCAGTCTGCACCTCCATAAAGTCCACCAAAATCACAATATACCACCTGCGCCACAACTTAAATCTGCTTTGAGCTGGTCTCAAGTCTTATTGACTTTCTGTCACCAAAAGAAAACGCTCAACAGTGTGCCAAATTCCCAAACACGCGATACGAGACCTGCCCCGGCACGACAATGAAGATGCGCCCGTTCTCCCACCATCGACCTAAATATGGCCTTCACACTCACAGTCCCAACGATGGACAATTTGGAGTCTTCAGTGAAACCCCCACGCATGCTTTTGGAATGTGGCTGTTCCCCACGAGTCCACCGTGCTTCCCGAAATTGAACCCTCCCAAAAAAATGTTCACTTTGGCATAATAAGATTCATTTTTGTTTTGTCTTAGTTTTTGAGTCTTGGTAGTCAAGTCACCCCCGCTTTTGAACCTGAGCTTTACCCCGCCGCACCCACAACCTCCTCCAAATCCAGCGGACACCCGCTATGCTATGGACGCTACACCGTACATGTGGACCGTACATCGGGACTTTTCTCTCGGTATAAACACACAATAAAACTTCTGCAAAAAGGTCCCACAAAAAAAAAAAAAAAAAACAAAAAAGAAAATGTTTTTGGCGTTTGTCCTTTTTCGTATAATGGCTTGCGGTTGGGGCGGGCCTCCGCCTGCGCGTCCAGTCTTTTTGGCTTGCCCAGGTCTCCGGGGGCCCTCAGGGACCACCGTCGTTGTAGTGCAGCGAGACGGGTCGCTCGCGCTGGACAGCGGCGGGCACGTAGGGCCAGTTGTAGCCGGAACCCGACAGCAGCATGTCGCGCAGCAGCGTCTCGATGGGCGTCTTGCCCACCAGGCGCACGAAGAAGAGCTGCTCGATGACGGGCGACGACACGATGCGCAGCGACGGCAGCCGCAGCAGCAGACGCCCGAAGCGGTTGGGCTGGCTCGGGTACTGGTTGCGCACGTACTCCTCCAGGGCGCACTGCGACTTCTCCTGGATGCTCTCCACGTGGCCCGCGTCCGACAGGCCCATCGCGTCTGCGTCATGCGCACGCACACACACACACGCACACACACATATTTTCATTCGCGAAATAAAATAACAAAATGCTTTTAAAATAATGAAAGCTGACTAAAACTACATCTTATGTTCATGAAACTAACTGCAATTATAATTGTAGCACAAATGTCCTCGGTTTTCATCCATCCATCCGTTTTCCGATTCGTGTATCCTCACAAGGGTCGCAGTGGGTGCTGGAGCCGATCCCAGCTGACTTCAGGCAGTAGGCGGGGGACACCCTGAACCACTTGCCAGCCAATCGCAGGACACGCAAAGACGAACGACCATCCGCGCTCACACTCACACTTAAGGACAGTTAGATTATATGTCATTCATCTTGGTTTTGGTATGCAGAAGGTCAAACAGATAAATATTTTTAAAAATATGAAATATTATTAATAATATAAATTTAAAAAAGGAAAAAAATGAAAAATCCACTGTTCATCTCAATTTTCTTTGATCCATTTATCACATTTTATTCAGGTAAAAATCAATTTGCAGTAAAACTGATTTTAAAACAGAAAAAAAAGGAATAAAAGAGAACCATTTAGCTTGCGGTCTATTGTGAGGCGAGCGAAGGGGGAAGGGGGGTGGGGTGGGGTGGACCCCAGGTTACGGTGGTCGGGGTTCGGTCAGGCCCTTGTTTGGTTCCAACAGGGCTGCAAATGATCAGGCTCTGATCATTTGAATCAGGTGCATTGGTGGGGGGGGGGGATCTAAAACAGGCTGGATAGGGGCACCCCTGGGTTAGAAGGCGATGAAGGTTAGCGTGCAGCGGTTAAGGCAGTTTTTGTGCGTCCGGGTGCAGCTGATGTCGTGCTACAAGCGAATTGATGTTTGTAAATGTCGACGGCACTCGAAGCACTCCGGCCTCGACATGTGACTTACACCTCTTGTCTCGCACTCTTCCCCTCCCCCATCGCACAGCTGAGAGAAATTGGGAAGGGAGGGTTACGTTGCACACTACATTTTTCACACCCTCAGTGTCGGGATCGGGGGTGGGGGCGGGGAGGGGGCATTAGGGATTTGGCGCTGTGTGAAGTCCAAACAAAGACGCTTTTTTTTTTCCTCTTTTTGCCCGTGACCCCCGCATGAACCCTCGTGTTTCTTCCATTGCTTGGTTTGAACCTGTCAGCTTGCATCGGGGCTCCTTTTTGTCACACTGGCCTTTGATGTAACCCCTCCCTGCCCCCCCCACCCCCAAAAAAATATAGCGTGTCAAGCTGTGTGAATCACTGCCTTGCTTTTCTGCTACTCAGAGGACAGCTGGACTGCTTTTTGTGTGTGTGTGTGTGTGTGTGTGTGTGCGTGTGTGTGTGTGTGTGTGTGTGTGCGTGTGTGTGTGTGTGTGTGTGCGCGTGCGCCGGGCGGCCGCGTTCGTGACAAAGCGGCGGAGATTAGTCAAGCTGTCCTCCGCCGCCCAAAAAAGCGGCTTCGCGTGCCGAAGCGACAGCTCTGCGCGCACTGTGGCGTTTCTGTGCCAAGCGGCGCAGACAAGGTGGCAGAGCACGGAGAGGGCACGGTGGAGACACCTTTCACCAAAACGGGTGTCAGGAATTCCCATCTGAACAACAGCTGGAACGACCGGCGCGGCACGCGACTCCATCACGAATTCATCTTTATTGGTGTAGTCAAGAAGTTCAAAACAACTATCATCCACTGTATGATGAAAAATGGCCTGATTTGTTTTTTTTCTGCGTTCTGGCCAAAGTCCCGGATGCTTTAGCGCCATCCTGTGGAATCCTGATGTCAACGAATTATGTTGACGTGGGGAGGAGCTTTATTTCCTTAGTCCATCGTCCAGTCTCATGAAAAAAAATATATACAGTCATACCTCGGTTTTCGAGCAAAATCCGTTGCAGAAGGCTGTTCGAAAAGCGTCACTTCCTCGTGTAAGGATGCCGAGAGGGGTCAAGTGGCGTATTCGGGTTTGCTCAGTTTGGTTGAAAAGCGGTTTTCAGTTGTTATCCGAGGCGTAAAAATCTCGAATTTTCTGGTCGAAAACTGATTTGGTCGAGAACAGAGACGTTCGAAAACCGAGGTTTGACTGGATATGTGTTTTGAGAACTGGCATACTGGCGCCAAGGAACTATGTTGAAGTGTGGGGTGGCAGCTTCATTTGATCGAAAAGTCGATACGGTCGGCCAACTTTCACACTTGCGCTCACACCTGTGGACAATGTCAAGTCTTCAATCAGCCTCACATATCTTCTTTTTGGCAGGAGAGGCGGGATTGGTTGCCGGCAAATGACAGGAGGCTTTATATCGTGTGTTTCTGTGTGTATGTGTGTGCCTGCGCAGAAGTCACATGGCGAGCTGAGGGCGACAGGGGGGAA